TTCTTCAAGATTTCTAGAGTAATAAGGAATAGGTATGGTGTTGCTGTCCTGGAATGACTAGAGATTGGTTAATGGCTTAGGAACTAACTTTACCCCCTTTAGAAGGCCATGAAACTGAAGAACACAGAGAAAAGATAGAACGGGTTCCCGTCATATGAGAGCACTCTGTTCAGCAAACTTGAGCTCCTGCTGTATACCAGGAATTGTTCTTAGGGCTGCAGGATGAAAATAAGGCAAAGGTTCTTTCTGTTCCTAAGGATCTCAGTGCCAGTTTCCACCTAGAACCTTCTCCAAAGGCCAGAGTGTTAAAGGTGTGTTCCCTAGTGAGACACCACTGAGTGGTAGAAACTTTAAGAAGTGGAATCTGGTGGGAGGAAGAGATTGAAGGATCCCTCTTTCTTCCTCTTGCAGCAAGGGGAACGAGCTTCCTTGACCACACACTCCCACCATAATGTACTTCCTTTCCACAGACCCAAAAGCAATGAGCCTAGCTGATGAGGGACTGAAGCTTCATGAGTCAAAAGAAACTTTTCCTTCTTTTAAGCTATCAGTGGTATTTTGATACAGCAACAGAAAGATGACAAATATACCTAGGATCTGAGGAAGAGGCAGATACAATGTGGTTCAGATAACCTTGATCATATGATCACTGGGACTAAGCAACATACATGCTTGAAGAGTGATGATGCTTCAGGTAAACTGATGGGAAACAGAGTCTATAAGAAGAACAGGGAGGGAGAAGAGGGTGTCCCCAAAGAGAAGGAAGAAGAGGGAGTTCAAAATGACAACAATGGTAATAACATACAATCTTTATGGGGAAATTATGGTTTACAAAGCATTTTTAAGCACTTTTACATAATTTTTTTCATTTAATCTTCATAACAGCCCATTGAGAAGCAAACAGAAAGCACTCTCCTCTCGCCCCTAAGAGTAGACCTGGGGGCTGGAGAGATGGCTCAGCGGTTAAGAACATTGGTTGTTCTTGCAGAAGACCTGGGTTCGAATCCCAGCACCCACATGGAAGCTAATAACTGTCTGTAACTCCAGTCCCAGGGGATACAACAGCCTCTTCTGACCTCAGTGGGCATTGCACAACATGGGTGCACTTACCTACATGCAGGCAATACACACACATAAAATAAAAATTTTAAAAAAAGAGCAGATCTGGGAAATGAGTGATCCTTACACTGCAATATATTCAAAAAGAATCAAGTGAGAACTCTGCCCTTAGTATATGACACATTCATTAGACTTATCTTCCTGAATTGCATTTGAGCTTTTGCCTGGTTTGGGCACATGCTAATTTATCATAGTTAAGCCAAGCACTGCTCCCTCGGTCACTTTGCCTTCAAGTTTCCCACCAGCCTAGCTGATCTCTGCTTCCTGTCAGTCATCACACAGCTGCAGTCCTTCCTGTCTTAGGGAACTGATTGCCACCAACGGAGGACCAAGAATGAACAAGCCCCACTGGAAAACTCATTTAGGTGAGTCCCAAGAAGTCTCCCAAGGATGAAGTTCCTTCTTAATGAAGTGGCTCATTCGTCTACACTTGCATTCAGCAAATGTATCAAATATGCACTGTATCTAAGACACACAGAAAGACTTTGTAAAGGACTCAAAAATAACAAGATGTGTCCACGATATCTGGACTCTAGTAGGACAGATAGGCATATAAAATAACTAATGTGTGTATACCAACATGATAGGGGAGAAATCAAGCTAGGCTCACACATCCTTGCATTTCTTCAGCACTCATGGGGAAAAGACTAAATAAAGCAGGACATACACATATGTGCCTTGCTTAAGCCTCACAATATGGTGCTAGAAGCCCGTTTCTCTATTTCATAGATGGGGACATCAGGACTCTTCTGTTGCTCTCCTGGTCGGAGAGGCCTCATGAAAGGAGCTTTTGGCTCGTTTGTGTTAAGCATTTTCCTTTGTTTCATTTTACTTAGTGGCGGTAATCAAGTTGCACATTGGAAAGGATTTTAACACCAGGAGACAATGTGATCTGAAGCTTGTGATGCTTAACCTTCAAGTCTCCAAGGTGACACGGGTTCTTTCCAACAGCCTGGAAAGACCCCAAAGATGTGCTTGCACCCTCAAAAGATTTCGCCAAGTTTTTCCAACTAATATATTTGTGCATTCTTTTGCTCAAAGAGGCTGTGCTAAACCATGTAACATTCAGATCCCATGCAACATGGATTTGCCTCTGCATTTAAAGGTGGGAGGAAGGGAACATAAGAAAGGTGCTGTGTAAGCTGCGAAATGTGAAGTGTTGACACACGTGCAGAATCATATCGGCTTTCTGTCATTGTGACAAAACACCCAAGATAATCAGCTTATATGGAGGAAAGGTTTATTTCTGGCTCACAGATTTGGAGGCTCCAGTCCATAGCCCCATTACTTTTGGAGCATGTGGTGAAGCAGCACACCATGGCAAGAGGGCTTGAAGCAACTGGAGAGGAATGGAAGCAGCCAGGGTCCAACAATCCCCTTCAAGGTCACACCCCCCAGTGACCTAACTTCTTCCCACTGGGTCCCACATCCTAAGGGTTCTGCCATATTTCAACAGCACCATGAGCTGGTGGAGCAAGCCTGTTATGTATGTGGGCCTTTTCTGTCTTAGTTATCTTTCCTGTTGCTGTGGTAAAATACTATGATAAAGCAACTTAAGGAAGGGGAGGGTTTATTCTGGTTCATAGTTTGAGGGGTTATATTCCATCAAGGTGGAGAAGGAATGGTGGAAGGAGCAGGAGGCTGTCTGATCACATTGCATCAGCAGTCAGGAAGCCAAGAGAGAATAGGAAATGGGCTGGCTTATAAAATCAAAGGCAGGAGGATTGATATGAGTTCAAGGTCAGCCAGGGCTACATATCAATGCTGTCAAAAACAATAAACAAAAATGGAGGAACAGTAGACAGAGGGTGAGGGATTGAAACAGAGAGAGAGAGAGAGAGAGAGAGAGAGAGAGAGAGAGAGAGAGAGACGAGATCCTTACCCAGGGTTATATAAGGAATGAATGAAATGGCATGTAGCCAGTATACTGTTAATGATCATTAATACTATTTTCAGTTATGCAAAGCAGGCTCATTGAAAAGTATTTGAAATCTAAGAATCACAAAGGAAAACCACTCGCATCCCCTAGTGACCATGTAGTGTTGGTGACCATGACTCACCTTGATGCCAGGCAACAGGTACACCTAAGCAAGCAAAGCATAGTACCACCTTTGGAGCTACAGTCCATGGCTCTGTAGTGACCTTGGACATGTCACCTCATCCTTGAAATCCTAGTTCTTCTGCTTCACAGTTCATGGGAAACACCAGCTTCCTGAAGCTGATGTGAGTATTTAATCGAGTCACTGCCTAATGCCAGGCTCACGGGGGGCAGAGTAGGGGGACATGCCTCAATGTCTCAGTAGTCCTGGTGTGAGCACAGCTGCTAGGGTTAATGACTGAATGTCGTGGTGTGTAGGGATGATCATGCATAGGGTGCAGGGGAGGGCAGCAGGGATATCCAGAGTCAGAGATGCACAAGGGTGCCTCTGCAGGCTGGAGAAGGCTCAGACCTCCACACTCTGAGGCTTCTATCTCTTATGTTTCTCCCTTCCCTCTAGGCCCCTGGACTGGCAGGAAGCAGCCTGTGGGTGGTGCAGAGGGTGTGGAAGTGAGGAAAATAATACCAACAGTAGCAGTAGTAATAGCTGACACCTTCCTGGAGGATCGCTGTGTGCCAGGCATGGAGCCAAGCCCCTTCTCACCTCCCCCACAACTCCAAGAGAAGGGGACGGAGGGATGGTGGGAAGGTATCTATTATGACAGTCAGGCCTGTGACCTCCCTCCATGGTCTGGGAGCCTTTTCCCACCACCACACCTTCCCAGTCCCACTTCTTTAAGACCTTCAGAAGTGTGCACTTCTGGGAACAACCAAGTCAGTGGAAAATATAGCCTGACACTCAGTTCAGGGATACTCCAGCAAGGAAGAGGCTGTTTCCCTAGGGAATCAAAAAAATCTACTCCATGAACCTCAAACCCAGAGACCAAAGGAAGCAAGGGAACCCCAGCTCAGAATATACCAAAACTTCAATGAATTGTAAACTAATTGCTTAATGCACAGAGGAGATACAAGGGGCCTGAGGTTGCTGGCTGGGTTTTGTTCACGTGGCACCGGGGAAGTCTGGATGCTGGTAGAAGGCACAGGCAGTCCAGCTGTGGGTACCCCAGGGCACATGCACAATTAATCATTTTACTGCAGTTTTCTGTATCAAACAGGAGATGGATGTGAGTGCTCTTAGTATTTCCCTGGGCCACAGGTGATTTGGGCTGGAGCCTCCTCTTTTACCACCCTGAGTAGCACCAGGTAGCAGAAAGAACATGGAGAAAAATCAAGTCTCATCTCTCCACTTCTATCCTGCTGAGTGACCCTGGGCCCCTTCACCTCTGTCAGCCTCAACTTCCTCACCTGCTTATATAAAGAGAGATTCAGCTGAGAGAATTTACCCCCTCCCCCGACATCTTCTGGCATTAAAGTCCACTGCCACAGGGGGCATTCCCACGTGAACTTTGAGACCAGCAAATTTAGAGAAAAGAAACTGTTTCATGGCTTCTAGATTCAGCATCGAACCTCTTGATAAGGCTTCACACAATGGGCTGGGGCACTCCTGAGACTGTGGGTGAAAGTCGGCAAATTAAGAACTGTATCATGCAGGGGGCATTAAGCCAGTGTAGGGAGAAAAATATCCATTAGCGAGGAGAGTAGGCTGCACAGTGCAATGAGTCAACTGTGCCAGGTGAAAAACACTGTCCAGCTTGCAATTCCCAGAACTAGACGGCACTGGCCCCTCACAGTGTTTGCTGGGTAAGCGATGCATATACACCCGGTAAGAAATGAGAGTGTGAAGCTACTTCCATGACAGGGGGACAGGGACTAAGCTAAGCAAGCACTCTGGATCCAAGCACTCACACCACCCATCTCATTCATGGCCAGCTGTGCTGCTTACCAGAGAGACATTTTCTGAAGGTTCCAGGTCAGTGCAGAGGGTCCTCGAAGGGCAAGTCCCAGGAGAGAGAGGCTGGAGGTGGAATGGGGAGAAGTAAGCCACGGACACAGCTGAGCCATGGGGAAGTACTAGCAAGAAAGGGGCAGACCAAGCAAGAAGAAGGAGGGCCAGCTAGTGCCACAGGGTGCCAGACCCTGGAGCCGTACCTCCACATGTGTCATCATCTAATTGTGAAGAGATCTGTAAAGTCAATATTAAAATTTCCAATTTCTAGAGGAGAAACCACGGCTCAGGAAATATGAAGCATCATCAATATAAAAAATCTGGGATGTGGAAGGTCTGGGATTTGAACCCAGATTTTGCCAACATTCTTCCTCCTTGGGTAAAGCAATGTTGGGAAACAGGCCAGAATGTTATATAATGTCTACATCTCTTCTGCCTCCACCCTGCCAGCCACCCCATTACCCCAACACCCCAAGTCCTGTTTACTAAAATGACCTAAGGTCTGAACACTTCTGTCTACCCCTCTGATGAAACCTTAGCCAGCCCCCCAACCCTTTACCCCTGGACCTCAGTAGTGATCTCTTGGCAGTCTGGCTACCCTGTTGCCACCTCACTGTCCAGTTCCACAACATGACCAGTGCTTCCTCTGGAAATGCAGCCCCCCCCACCTACTCCAGAAGGAGCTCCAGAGATCCTAGGGCCTGGCCCTACCCATCAGCCCAGCATGCACTTGTTCATCCCTCCATTATGGATTGGATGGTGGCTCATCAAAAGATACTTACCCTGGCTTGGTCTCTCCTTCTAGGAGGCAGGGATATTTCTGGAATGAGGCAGGCAGCACACAGAAGGTTTATTCATAAGCAATGCAGCTTAGTAGCTAATACCCTCACTGGTGGGCAATGGGCATTCGGATTCTGGGGACTTCATCAACATTTACATCAACCGATATCAGCACTCTTAGCCCCTCCATGGGTGGAGAACACACATTTCTCACCTGTGCCAATGGAGAGCTCTTTGTGGGCATAAATCTCTCTTCTAGGCCCCAAACAATAGAAAAGAAGACAGGCCTTCTTTGTTTCCAGTTTCTATTGTCTCACTACCCAATGCCTCACTTACAGAGTACATGGATCATTACTCAACAAGCTGAGATGGATGTTCGCAGTTGAGTTCCATGGCCTAGTAGGATGAGCCGGATAAGGATGTCAGAAACATGTATGTGCTCCAAGATTATAGGCTGACAAGGGAGAGAATTGACATGAAAATTAATTTTTCACAGTACTTTAATAAACATACATTATTTCACTTAGCACTTGACCGTGGGTTAGAAATTAACTGCTGTTCCACCACAAGGGACAGCATAATATTCTCACTTCCAAATATCTTTTCATAGTTTCCCTTTAAACTCAGTCCAGAAACACGATGGGCCCCTATTGTTCTGTCAGCTCAGCGTTGACCGGCCTCCTTTCTGAGTACTGTGTCTTTGGCTCCTGGGAACTACTCCCTTGCCCCGGCCTCCTGAACATGCAGGCCCCTCAACATGCATATGGCACCACAGGAGTCTGCCTGTTGGCACAATGGGACTCTCACTTGGCATTAGCCATTGGTGGAGAGGAGGGCACCTGATCCAAGCTGGCCAATCAGAGCCCTCCCCCCAAGATTTGAGAACCGCAACTGACAAAAAGAAGTCAGTCTCTCTCTGGGTGTCTGAAAATGGGACATGTAAATGCAGAAGCATTTGGCAGCCCCGTTCCACCATGTGGACTGAGGAATAGAAAATGCCAATCAGCAGAAAGAGAAGCAGAGGCAAGGGAGGGAAAGCGAATCCAGACAGCCCTGAGCCGTGCGGTCTTGCTGCTCCCCAGGCCTCGCCATATTCCTCTTTTGGATTCCACTGAATCCAAGTAGCCTTATGACAAAAATACTTTCTTGGCTTCAACTAACTTAAGTTGGATTTCTCTTCCTTGCAACCCCAAGAGTTTAACTAATACGAGTTCATAGTCCTATTTCAGCCCTGCTTACACGCTTCTCTTGAATTCCTTGACCCTTTTACTTTGTGAATTCAGAATGGAAGAGGGGGGAGTGAAAATATTTGAGGTAGACTCCTGCACAAATTAATCTGCACTTATTCTCCTGGATAGTTTCTGCACCTTCGCAAGTGCAATGTGTTTTCTTTTGATGACCAACCTAACTCATGTGGCCTCTGACCTCTTGGCCTAGAGGCAATCCATTTGGCCACTCAAAGTCCCATGAACCACATCCACAGGGCAATGGGGTTTTTGGTGTGTGCTTTCCTATGGAAGCTGTTTAAGTACGGGGAATTAGCCTTTTTATAGGCTAAGCCCTGTGATGCAAGGTGGCTGGGAGCTGTCCAAACAAAAGCTCTGTGAAGAAACTGTGACAGAAAATCCCTTTGCCGAACTAACAGGACTGCTCAGCTGCACGAACTCCCTCTATGTCCCTTGCTAGTTAAAATAACCGATAGTGAAACTTAGAACATGGCTGATTTTGTCTCTATCCGTTTTCTTAAGAGTAGATGCTTAGGGTAAACAAAACAAACCATAAAACAAGGTGAAGTTCTTGCCTTATATTTATTTAGAATCCCTAGTGTTTCTCCTACTAAAAAATAAAAAATCCCAAACCCACTGGACCTGACCACAGACAAGGAAGCACATGCTTAGCACATAGCCAGCATATGTAGACATAAGTGCAGTTAGATATTAAAATCCCATTGGGCAGTAGAAATGCTTCTCAGCTCTACCCTTGCCCTCCCTTATCGAGTGAGCAAGCCTTTGATCACAGAAACCTCAGAAGCCCAGCAGTATATTAGTCACCATTTCTACCCTAGTTGGAAAATATTTCCCTGATCAATCAGCATTATCAGTTAAACAGGTAAAAGATACCCAAGAACCTAGAGCTGAAAAGAACCTCAGCATCATCTGTCTCAAAAGGTTCATTTTAAAGATGAAACAATAAAGCACTTGTTCAAGAAGACATAGCTTAGTTACCCGAGGACAAGATGGCAGAGTTCATGTCACCTCCCTTCCTCCCTCCAGGTTCCAGACTTTTAGAAGCAAGACCTTTCCAGAAAGCTCCCAAGTTCTTCCTCTTGAACCCCTGCCACTCCTGGATAGCTTGGCCTGAGATAAGAGTCTGGATGTTTCAGAAATCCAGGGTGGCCTCTATATTCCCCAGAGGGAAAGTTGCAGGGAACTGGGGGCCGGTGCTGCAGGGTTTTGAAAGGCCTGTGGCAGGAGCTCTGCTTCCAGGGACGCAGTCCAGCTGTCCTCACGTCCCCTTTGCACATGCAAGCCTCACAACCACCCCCCCCCCCCCCCCGCCTCCAATGCGACAGCAGAGCTGCATGAGGCTTCCGGGAGCTCTGGGGTATATGTTCAAAGGGCACCTAGAAAGGCAGAGCAGAGAGCATCCACCCCCACCGGAGAGAAAGAGAGCCCACCATAAGGCAGGGGAATGACCCTGTGCTCCTGACACCTGCCTGCTTCCTCCCCCCCATCTATTGGCCATGGTGGGGTAGGGGGAAACAACACAGGGACCAGGCCCAGAGAAGTCACACTGACACGTAGCATAGCTACGCTTGGAAGAGAGGGCCCAGTTGCTCGGCAGCTTGAGTCGGAATGTGAGAAAATCATGGGGATTTCACAGCGCAGGTGGAGTTCGGCGCAAACAACCCGGAGTGTCTTGCTAATCATTAGAGATGGCACCTCTGTTCAATGTCAAGAAGTGAGGCTTCAGGAGCATTTTCCCCCTCCTTGAAAAAGACACCATAAAGATAATACAAATTTGTTTAAGCTCAAGATGTGCAACAGATGGATGCCAGCTTCCCAGGTGAGGGGTGGCAGGATAATTTAACATCACCTGAGCTAAAGTGCACCTGAGTAGCATTAGGCTCCTCAGCATATCCCACTTTTATTCGTCTCAATTCACACACATGAGGAGACAGTTAGCCATCCTCTCTTCTCCAGTCTTTGGAACAATAGACATGCCCAGGATATGTGAGTTTTAGAGCTTCTGTCGGGGAGTGTGTGAAGGCTTTGCTTTCTCCATTTCTATTATTTCGCTGTCTGTGTATGGTTCTTTGCAACAGTTGTTAACCTGAGCAGAGAGGGCCATTCCATATAGGCTGGCCCAGAGGAGAAAACTCTTCTCACTCAGCTTCTATAAATTATCCATCTTCTCACTTTAATATCAAGTATGATATGTATTAGAGTGCATGCTTTGGGTTAGACTCAATTTGGAAGGCTGTCAAATAAAACACAAAATAGGAAAATAAATCCAAAGTAAAATTTATGACTTGATTTTTACTCCCATTGCACTGCACTTAACAAATGCATATGTTTTACAATATCTTTAATAATAATTATTAAACATAGTAAAATACTTCCAAACTTGGCTCATTGCATAATTGTACTTCGAGTGGGAAAAAAAAATTATCCGAGGCCTTGTCAATATGCCACTTCCTCCTCCCCCAGCTTTTAACAGAAGCAGCCTCCAGTGGGATAATCCAAGCTGTGTTCAAGAAGTTGGCAAGTAGGTCCAATTAAATGTGGTTTTACTGTATTCTGGCGTTTGCATATCTAGTTTGCCAAGAAGTAATCTTTCACAAAAAAAAAAAGAAGAAGAAGAAGAAAGAAAGACAGAAAAAAAAATCTGTACTGGCCCAGACTCAGCCTGGATGGTACAACATATCATATAACTTTACCCCATGACTAAGATAATCTTTTTTTTCTTCAATAGCTGTGGAAAATGTATCATCCATCCATCATATTCCTATATGAATCACAAAACACCATCCTGTATGGAGTGGCTTACATATACATGACAAAACTGGAATTCATCTCAATAGCTGTGTTTATTTTAATTATTAAACTCCAAGGGGTTAGCGCTTAGCTGCCTGAACTCGATGTATTTATTCAGGTGTACTCCAGAGGGATTACCTGAATGAGGTTAGAAACGATCCTATTGACTATTAAATACCCACTTCTCAAAGTGGGAGTCATGCACATTCATAAGCCTGGGTACCTGGAACTCAGAGAAATGCTTCTATGATTCGCAGACGGAATCCTGGGCAGTTCTTCACTGGTGTTTTACACTGCCCTGGGCCCTTATGGAGGAGCTGTCTCCAGCAGTCCCTTCCAGCTAGATCGGGCTCTACATGAACGGTCGGCTGTATCCAAAGTCCAGATGGAAAGCTGTCAACAAAGACACTCCTTCTGCTCTGCCTGCTGCATGATTCATCCCTGGCATGAAGACAGGCCCAGAGATAGCCCCACCACCTTGACTCCCGTAGGTGAGCCAGGCAAGGAGCACAGGTGCCCACTCTGCAGGTCAGCAGGGAGGGATCAGGTGGGAAAAAAGGCTGCAAACCCCACAACCTGGCCTTTGTTACAAACCATCATGAGCTCATTAAAAACACATGCAGAAATGGTTAAACAAAATCCTCTAAAACCGTTTACAAAATCGCCAGTCTATTAGGAAGGCAGAGCCCACAGAAAACTCGCCCTCCAATGTGTGCAACGAAGCAACTAATGTCCTTTGGACTCTTCTCTATGGTGCTAAGCAGAGGGAAGTTTGTTGTGGTGGTGGGTTTTTTTTTTTTTAACTTTTTAAAAACTAAATAATTAAATGTAGCAACCAAAAGAACTGTTTTTACCCAAGATGTATATTGTACTCATTTCCTTTTATAAAAACTTATAAAAGCTATAAGATTAAAAGATTTGTGTCATGATAACAAGGAGAAAAAAAAAAAAAAAAGAAACAGAAAAACAGATGACTATGGCCCAAATGTTTTTGTAAAGTGGCATCAAAGAGGAAAGCGGACAGGTTGAATGGCCACTCTGAGGCCATCCAGAACTTGGCCATGCTATACAAAAAAATTGGATCATAACTTTGATCCACACAATATTTACTCAAAGTGTCCAGATAAGCACAATGCACACAGTTGCATTCCACTGTTCTGTGGACTTTGCCCAGCTGCGTCTTCCCCCAAGTGGATGGATGCATACCCATTTGCATGGCACCACAGTGTGGTAGAAACAACATATAGGCCAGACATGGATGCTCTCAGCTCTGGCATGTGCCACCTTCTCCTGGCAACCTGGGAGTCGATCACATACACCTCTGGATAAATCACTGTGATATGTGGGCTCCCTGGAGACTTGTGCTGTGCTGTCATTCTATATGTTCATCATGTTAGTTTTTATACTGAAGGATACTCAAGTGGACGTCAACTAAAGCTTCTCTGTCTCGGTTTCTTTGGCATTAGGAGGGAGGGAAAAAAACCCTTTATCTATTGCAAGCTTGATATAGCACCCTTTTTCTGAGAAGTGATCAATGCTATGTGTTCATGTTTGCATGATCCCAGAGAAATGACATGCGTGTGGTATACTGAATTCATAGAATAGGCCTTGAGGGACTTGTCAGAAGGAACCAAAACTGTGACATCATGAGAGAAGGCTTGTACACCTACATGTGTCCATACCCATAAGCTCACCTGAGATTCTGGAAGATTTTCATTATTAGGACACTTTAATTTCACATAGCTTGTAGAAATTACTTTCTTTGGGGCATGCTTAAAACTGAAATAAAATTAAAACTGCTAGTGCTCGATGAATTTAAATTTTAAAAATCTATGTAAAAAATTCTACATTGGTAGGAAGGCTTTGTTACAGGGAAAAATCTTTTCATCTCTGTGTAAAAAAATTATTAGGCTGGACATGGTGGTATACGCCTTTAATCCCAGCACTCTGGAGGCAGAGACAGGTGGATCTCTGTGAGTTTGAGGTCAGCCTGGTCGATGTAGTGAGTTCCAGGCCAGTTAATGCTAAATAGTGAGATTCTGTCTCAACAAAATAATACTGCTAATAATAATACAATTATTTAAAAATAGTATTGTCCCCTCAAATTTGTGCAGCATCTTTCTGCTGAGAGCTTAATGCTGCTGCACAGTCGTGTTCCCGTTATTTCAGGGGATTGGCAGGGATATTGTTATTCTGTTCTTAGAAATAAAGGAAGGAACATGACAGGCTGGGATTCCTCCTGTGTGGCGTTGATAGTCCTCCCAACATTCCTTTGAGCTTTCTTTCCAGTAGATTCGGATGAGAGCAGGTGAGAAACATTGAGAACATTGCCAAGTTTCAGAGTAAGTGAAAGCACGTTGGAGTCTTCTACTTGGGCAGCAGGGGAGTCTGAGGCTCCCAAAGGCTGGCACCTCAGGACCCAGCCTTGCTGTACTTCTCCTCTGCCTCCTCGTGTCCAGCGGCTCTCAGACAGCCGGTGAATTCCCTGCCCGCTTTGAGCAAAGCCTTGTTGTGGTTGAACAAATAACACGTTTTGGAAACCCAAGCAACCCTTTCATAGCTGGGAGCATGGAGGGAGACCGTGAGTCCAGAGAATCCTGCCAGGTTTCAGCTCTTGATGAAGTGAAGAAGGGGCCAAAACAGCACTGACACCAGTGGAGAGTGGCCTGCTGCATAGATGTGCTAAAGAGTTGCTAGGGCCAACGGGGAGAAAAGGATGGCACTGGAATCTCAGATTCAAATCAAAAATATTTGTAGTAATATAAGTGTAATCACGATGAATACATATTAACACGAGTTTGCTCACAAAGGCATCACCAGGATAGTGATTTCAGATTCAGACTTCATCAAAGTTGTACCCAAACCAAGGAATTTGACCCTTGTGTGCCTCTAAGGAGAGGAGTCCATCTCTCAAACGATAGCTACCCAAGGTTTGAAGGATGTGAGAGTTTGCAGAGGGCCTGAATCCCCTTCTCTTTTCCACATCTGGGCCTGTTTCTTTCCCATCAGAATGAATGAGCTGGAAGTCACTTCCATTCCCGACAGCTCCAAGTGTTTGTGATTCTAGGTTAGTCTCTGTGGAAGAACTGTGTAGAAGTGACCTGTGAGGAGGAGCTGTCAGACAAACGCTACAGGTCTCGATGGAAAATTACCGAGCCATTGTAGCCCTTAAATTTTCATAATTTGAACAAAATTATTTTAAAGACAACCAGTCCAGACTGCAAATATTAAAATACAAGATACAGATGTGAGCTTTGACTTGTTTTTGCTTAAGAGGCCGAACTCTTATGTTATTTTGGGAGAGATTACAAAGATATATATGCATTAGTAAATAAAAATAACAATATGAAGGTTGATAGCCGTATTCTTCGAGGGTGTGATTGGACTGACTTTAAACAGAAACACTTCAATCATTTAAAACCCCTCCAAACTGGTCAAGCCTACAGACTGCCTGTCAGAATTTTGACTAAAGTATTATTTTTACTACAAGTACCTTTACACAGCAAACTGAATAGATGATGACAAAGCTCCCCTCCCTCTCCCTTTGCACAGAAGTGATTCTAGTACTGCTTTGAGGCATCCCTCAAGTAAAATAACATATAAATAGAACGTGAGAAATCACCACATTTTTCTAGACTTCACACTTACTATGAAAAGCAAAAGTTCTTTGTGCCCCAACATATCCCCTAATTTCTTTGCCTTTCACTGAAGGTTTTCATCCAGTTTGAGGCTGTTTATTGTAAGGAGCTCCAGATATGTCTCAGCTCCTTCTGCAGGCTCAGGCCCCCTGTGTGAGTATATTAATACATAGCTTGCTGGTACCCAGGGTGGTAAATAGGCTAATCTAAAATGGAGTTTTCATTTCAAATTTGTTTCCATTTTTTTTTCAAAATGGTAGAAAGACAGGAAAACAACTTGGCTAGAAAACTCAGTTGTGCCCTGGTGTTGAAATCACTCGATAGATAAAATGTATCTTGTGGTAAATAAAAAGGACACGGAGAGAAATAGAAGGCAGACTACAGACGAGGAATTTCAGTTTGAGTTTCAACAATAATTGAAACCTAAAGAAATAGCCATCTGCCAGACATTAGTTTCTTTTGGTTTAGTCAATTGCAAAATCTTCAGGATTCTGAGGAAATCTTAAATTTTACATGAACGGCTCCAATTCTGTGTCTGTGGTTGACTATAAACCTCTGTGGTTCCTCTCTCCTGTCACATGCTTAAGCATAAACCCTCTTTCTAAAGCCAGGTAGCCAAAGATGACTTTACAAATTTCATTTTCTTGGGATATGGTTTATGATCAAATTTCTTCTGTTTGATGAGGATTTTAAGATTAGAGGAATTGTTGTAAGTTAGAAAAATGGATTTTTTTCCCACTAAATATACATGGATAACACTAACTTCTATGGTAGCTGGAGCTCACTGGCTGTGCATATTTTCCTTCAGTGTTTTAATTATCATACTATTGTGCTTTTCCAAAAATTGTCCACACTGACCTGCTTGGGCAGCACTGCTATGTAGTAAACATGCAAATAGTGTTTCAATATTACCAAAGTACTCACAAATGTGATACAGTTCTTTATAAAGGCACATGTATATTTTCAATCTCTTTGTAAAGAACTGTAAGAGATTCAGATGAAAAGCCTAAATGCCTTTACTTTGATCAAAGATCATTTTAAAGTATCAGACATATAAAATGTTAGAGCCTTTAATAATCTCAAAAGGAAGGTGTCCTGCATTAAGCATAATTTTAAAAATGAAATGGACAGGGCTGGAGAGATGGCTCAGCAGTTAAGAGCACTGACTGTTCTTACAGAGGACCCGGGTTCGATTCCCAGAACCTACATGGCGGCTGCGAACCATCCTTAACTCCAGTTCCAGGGGAATCTGAAGCCCTCTTCTGACCTCTGCGGCACTGCACAACACGGGTGCACTCACATACATGCAGACAATACACTCATACACATAAAATAAAAATAATAAAAATTTTTAAAAAAATGTTTAAAAAAACAAAATGAAATGGACATATTCTTTTATAGATTTCAATAAATACATTCATAAATCATACATGATTGATACATCCTCTTAAGTTCTATCACATAGCAAATATTAGCTCTGGTCTGGCATACCATGTAAATAAAGCTATGCTATTCTTTCAAGTTCAGTGCTATCATATATGTTTTCTATATTAAAACAACAGACTTAATCTATCCTGCATACATATTTACCAATGTTCAAAAATGTTCTTTCATGCTTCACTACATATGAACTAAAAAGATACTGTTTACAAACTTGAATCTTTAGAACGTTGA